GATCATATTAGGGTTATCGGCATCTGTCGTTGGATAAAGTGACATATATTTACGACCTTTCGGAAAATACTACATATAAGATCAATAATCGACACAAGGTTATGCAGGAAGTAAAAATATGTTGATATTTTTTATACCATTATATAATTATAATCTATCTGTAATTCATATAACTTCTGTTTAGAGCTTTCTTTCTCTTGTGGAGTTTGAGCTTCTGAAACTTGTCTCTCAGCCTTTTTTATTGCACGTTCAACTTTTTTTCTATCTACAATAGTGAGATAATTAAAATATAAAAAAAAAAATATCGAAATTTCTTAACGCACAGATCAATATTCATGAAATAAAATAATATAATATATACTACCAAAATGCTTAACCATTCGATATTTGGAGGTAAATTTCTTTTCTTTTGACTCAATAATTCTCTCAATGAGCATTAATTTCAAAGCTTTAAGTTGACGCTCCAGACCTACTTGACCTTTAGCTGAATGTACCCTTTTCTGTAAAGTAAAATTGATAAGGTTTAAAAAGAATTTAAGAACGAAAACAAAAGGAGTTAATAATACAAAACTGTTCTTAAAACTCGTTCATTATCACGTATTTTCTTTCTCAAAGCGGAGATACTCATAGTATCTATCGAGGTACATGTGCCTTTCTTAGCTCTCTTATTGCGTACTGGTGGCATTTTAGAATTTTTAGATCAAAAAAATTTTATCGTCGTTATATATAGCAGGAATTTAAATCTTGTTGAAGTTACACAGCTCAGGTGGGACCAGGGCCTGTTTTGTGGTTGTTTTCGGTTAAGAAAAATTCTGTGATATCATGTGCTGTTTTTTGAAATTCTGTATAATAAAGTCAATTTTTGCGTAATTCTGTGGTAATTTAATTTGATTCTGTGATTTGATGCGATTAAGGGTAGGGTGAACGTTGGCAATTTTTTAATACGAATGTATTGTTACATGAATAAATATCACTTTTCAATAGGAATTTATTATACGAAAGTGATAGATTTTTGAAATCTAACTCCTCTCACAGTATTAACTCTTCAAATTTAAGAATAATATGAAGCGAATTAAAAAGCATGCTCTTTAATTTGTCGTGGGGGTTTTTCTTTTTGCATTTAAAATTTTGCAAAAAATTTTATAAATATATATTTAGATTATATAAATATCTATAAAATATTAAAATTTTAAATGTAAAAAGAAAAATCCCCACGAAATTAAAAAGTGTGCTATTTTAATTCATTTCATATTATTCTTGAATTTGAAGAGTTAATATTGCGAGAAGAGTTAGATTTCAAAAATCTATCACTTTCATATAATAAATTTCTATTGAAAAAATGATATTTATTCGTGCAACAATCTAATTGTTTTTTATTATGGTCTACATATCGATATATGTTTGATTTAATTAGCCCAGGGTGAATGTAGATCATTTTTATATATGATCATCATGCAAAAAAAATTTTATCTGTTTTACAAATATGTTACTATTAAATAATGATCAATTTTGGCCAAAAATTTGTGGCATATAGATCAAATCCTTCTATTTATGGTGATAAAACTTTAAGCTCTTGTACTATTTTTTTTTTTTTTTTTTGGTATTAAGGTAACCTCTTTGGCTATGAAAATTTTTTATTAGTAATTATTTATTATTATAGTTACAATAAAGATATAACTAGCCACATGTGCACCTTTTAAGTATCTATTTAAGTAGTTTACCTGCACTAGATGTCATATCTATAACCCAACTAGAGGGTTATTTATTTAAACCTTCTAATTCTAATTATTTTTAAGCATATTATACTAATTCAAGAATTACTATTTGATTCATTTCACTAGATTATACATCCTGCTTTAGGACTTCTGTGACTTATTCTAGATTTGTATTAACTAATTACTTTTTTTTTTTTTTTTTTTTTTTTTTTAACTTTGATAACCTCATACAAATTTATTAGATGTATGTAAGCTTAGCAGTAAAATAGTGGGCTTTTTAGGTATATGGTTGTGTTTTTTTTGATAACACTATTCATTCTTGTTTTTTTTTAAGTTTTTATCATATTCTTGATAACTTATATAACTTATATATAACATATAAAAACTTACATGAATGGTATATTTTTATATATACTTCATGCTTGGTGTACTTTTTTGATATTTATTTTGATTACTATTTAGCTTTCTATTACTAAGGAGTACACTCCCCTAAGAGTGTACGATGCAGTTGTGAAGTGAAGCGGAGCATAATTATCATATTTGATTTCTATTTAGTTTTTTGTACTGGAGGAGTATAGCGACTCCGAATGCGAAATATAATGTAGCATTAGTTATCTGTTTAATTCACAATTAGTTTCTTAACACTAAGGAGTATACACCTTAGGTGTAAGCGACGTAGTTGCGGAGCAAAGCGAAGCATAGTAATCTTTTAGTTATCAATTAGGTTTCTATAGTAAAAAAGATAGTTGTCTTGCAGACCCAAAGGATGACTCGAAGAGTCAAGAGTGGTCTTCAAGCATCTGAAGTTGTCGAGCATAAAATTGTATAACATAATATCCTTTAGAATGTTTTTTGCAATGTTCACAAGCAGAAGCTGTAGGTTTTCCACAATCATTACATAAAACATGTTTTTTAGATCTCCAATGTTCATGGCACCCTTCAGGACGTCAAAACTCATGTCCGCAGACTTCTCCAGAATTGTATATATATTCGCATGTATATTTACCCCTGACTTTTCGATATATTTACCTTCCTCAATATATTCACTAAATATTTCAATAAATGAATAATTATTTTTTATTTAAACAAAAGATTTGGTATATTAATAAAAAACACTGAAAAAACATATTACTATGGCTAAGATACTTAAATGTCCAGGTTGTGATCGAGAAATAAGAACTAGTAAAACTCGAAATCTTAATAAACACATGAATTTAAATAGAAACCTTCGTAAAGGACAATGCCAACCAGCTTTGCTTATAATGCAAAATGTAGAAAACGTTACTCCAGAGCAAAATATACCTCAAACTAAAAATGTTACTCCAGAGTAAAATCCGCTATCAACTCCTGAAGGTGATCTCATATCGTTCGATGAAAACCCACCAACACTTCAGCCGAGAGAGGCAAATGCACCGGCAGTCGACCCTTTAACTGATGATGTTCTAAATACAGAAGCAGGATCAAGTTCTAATACTCAAGAAGAACAAAAAAAGAAATCAATTTTAACGATAGATAAATTAATAAAATGGTTATCAAAGCCAGAAATAAAAAACAATAAAAAAATTAGATCAAAGCATATATCTAAAAACGATAAAGAATAGTATGATTTAATGGAAATAGATAACAAAAAAGATAGTGAACCAAGTGATTCAGAATATGTAGTATTTTCCGAAAGGTCGTAAATATATGTCACTTTATCCAACGACAGATGCCGATAACCCTAATATGATC